GATGTTCCTCTCTCATCGATGTTTCTAGCTCTCTATCCCTCTCCCTTCCTCTCTGTAAAAATCAATGAAATATATTTAAAAAAAATAAAAATAAATTAAAAAAGAAACATGGAGCTGCATTACAGGTGTATTTCCTGGCATTGATAGTCTCTGGTAAGTGATACTATAAGAGTATCTCGCAATAAAGAAGGTCCGAGCTGGGTCTTCAGACTTCGGGCCTGGTGGTGTGTGTTTGTTCTTTTTCTTTTTTTTTTTTTCTTTTTTGTCCTTTTCATCGACACAGCACTGCCCTTCCCGGAGAGTACCGGACAACCGCTTTTCCTTCCCGCCAAGTCCCAAGTCGTTATTGCACAAGCCACGACCTTCACACACACATTTCGAAGTCACTGACCCCTGGTCAAACCTGCTCCTTAGCAACAGTCTCCTAATCTTGCAATTCCCCAGGTCACACACAGGCGGGAGGCTTGCTCTCCTGGAAGGACGTGGGGGTGGGAGTCCAGGGAGGGGAACAGCCCCTGTCCCACTCTACTCGGATGAAAAAGACCTCGGGACCTGCTATGCTCATCTATTTTGGGGCCTGAGTTTGGATCTCACTTCTGCTATTTTGCGGTGTGACCTCAGGCAAGAAGACCTTGCCCCTCTCTAAGGACCATCTGTGAAAGGAAGTGGGTGCACGGAGCGACCCCATCCGTGAGTCTGTAATTCCATTCCTGTGTGTGTCCTGGCTGCTGGGGCCAACTGCAGTCCCTGAAGCTCATTCCATTTTTAAGGCTTTAAAAACAAAAACAAAAATACTTTCAACCGAATATGTTTTTTTGTTTTTATGTTTGTTTTTATCCTCACCCGAGGATATGTTTCCACTGACTTTTATTTAAGTATCTCAAGAGAAATCTAACAAAAATATGTATGTCTTCTACACAAAAGGTTATAAAGCGTTACAAATGGAGCGGAAAATCTCAAAGGACACAGTGAGTGAGAGGGAAGACCATGTGGAACATGGACTGAATTTTATAAAGATGTCCACTGTTCCAATTAAATAGCCTCCTTTTCAAAACTTATTCTTCAATTACAGTTGACATTCAATGTGATATTCGCTCCAAACGTATAACATAGTGATTAGACATTTGTGTACCTTATGGCATGATCTCCCCATAAGTCTAGTACCCACCTGGCACCATACATAGTCATTTCAATATTATTGTTATATATATATATATATATATATATATATATATATATATATATATATATATATATTGATTTCAGAGAGGAAGGGAGAGGGAGACAGAGACAGAAACATGAATGATAAGAATCATTGATCCGATGCCTTCTGCATGCCCTCTACTGGGGATCGAGCCCATAACAGGGGCATGTGCTCTTGACCGGAATGGAACCAGGGCCCCTCCAGTTCCGCAGGCCAACGTTCTGTCCACTGAGTCAAACCAGCTAGTGCTCATTACAATATTATTGACTGTATTTCCTGGGCTCTACTTCACACCCCGTGACTGGTTTTATGATTGGAAATCGATATTTCTAAATCTCTTCCACCTCCACCCCCCCTAAACCCCCTGCCATTGTTACAGAAAACAGGAGAAGAATCAAGCAATACTTAGAGATGGAGTTCCATTTATTATGTGCGGATGCAGAGGAAAATGTCTCTCAAATTTTGGGCTCCAACATGGAAGAACTTTCCCTATTTATATGTTTTTACCTTCTTTGTCTCTCAAATATGGGGTGTGTCTGGCCCCCTTTGCAAGTTCTTAAAGAGCCCCTGTGTGCTGGGGCCTTGAGACCTCAACCAAAGGCCTGGCCTGGTGCCAACACTGATAACTTCATCCGGGGAAGGTTTAATGACCTCTCTGAAGTGGAAGTAGTCTTATTTTCCTTCTTATTTAAGCAAGCAAGCATTTCCAGGAGCCAGATAGCAGGGTTGAAGTTTCAAACAGCAGATTATATATATATATATATATATATATATATATATATATATATATATATATATATATATATAGTTGGATGTTTTACCATCTTGATCCTGCTTCCTGTAAGCTAGATCAGGTTCTCCCCAGAGCCATGCCAGGAGCCCTGCCTGGGTACTGGCCTGTGGTTCTGAGTCACTTTCCTCCCAGGAGCGCCCCCTTCAGGAAGGAATGCATAGCCCAGGGAAACCGAGGGAAGCTGTGGTTTCCAGTCAGCCTGTGGCTGCAGATAAATGAATTCGCCTCTGTGGGCCTCATATCTCCACAAGGGAAATGTGGTTAATCACACACCACAGTTGTTATCGGAGGAGATAACTAGACATCATTGACTCATGACGTGGTACACAGGAGGTGCTTACAAATATGAGCTTCCTGCCCTGGCTGGTTTGGCTCAGTGGATAGAGCGTCGGCCTGCGGACTGAAAGGTCCCGGGCTCCATTCCAGTCAAGGGCATGTACCTTGGTTGCAGGCACATCCCCAGTGGGGGGTGTGCAGGAGGCAGCTGATTGATGTTTCTCTCTCATCAGTGTTTCTGGCTTTCTATCCCTCTCCTTTCCTCCCTGTAAAAAAAAATCAATAAAATATATTTAAAATATATATATATATGAACTTCCTTCCCTGGCTGGTTTGGGTCAGTGGATAGAGAGTCAGCCTGCGAACTGAAGGGTCACAGGTTCAATTCCGGCCCTTGACAGGGAATTGAACCCGCAACCCTTCAGTGCATGGGCTGATGCTCTAACCACTGAAACCACTGTCCAAGGAGCTTTATTTTTTTTTTCTTTCCTTTTTGTTAATCCTCACATGAGGATTTCTTTCTTTCTTTAAAATATATTTATTGATAATTATTATTTTATTTTATTTTATTTTTTTACAGAGAGGATGGGAGGGGGACAGAGTGTTAGGAACATTTATGACATTGATCAGCTGCCTCCTGCACACTCCCTACTGGGGATGTACCCACAACCAAGGTACATGCCCTTGACCGGAATAGAACCTGGGACCTTTCAGTTCACAAGCTGACACTCTATCCACTGAGCCAAATCGGTTTCAGCTCATGAAGATTTCTTTCCATTGATTTTTAGAGTGAGATGGAGAAACACCGGTATGAGAGAGACACGTCGATGGGTTGCCTCCTGCACGCACCCTGACAAGGTCCAGGGCACCTGCAAACGAGGTCCGTGCCCTTGACTAGCATCGAACCCTAGACCCTTCGGTCCACAGGCCGACACTCTGTCCACGGAGCCAAACAGCTACAGGCCTAAGGCAAAGGCCAGCGTCTTTTCTTTTTTTTTTCTTCTTCTTTTTTTTTTTTTTTTTAAATATATTGATTTTGTACAGATAGAAAGGGAGAGAGACAGAGAGCTAGAAACATCGATGAGAGAGAGTCATCGATCAGCTGCCTCCTGCACACCCCCCACAGGGGATATGCCCGCAACCAAGGTACATGCCCCCGACCGGAATCAAACCCGAGACCCTTCAGTCCCCAAGCCGACGCTCTATCCATTGAGCCAAACTGGTCTCGGCGGCCAGCGTCTTTTCTGGGCTCCCCGTTTTCAGCGTGACTACTGACCATCCCCCAAGAGGACTGTCCTTGAAGCAATCACCGCCGTGACCTTGGGGAAGGACGAAGGGAAGGAACCTGATCTGTAGTGAGAAACAGACTCCTCTCGCTCTCCCTTCACCGGCCAGTCTGAGCGCGTGGTCCGTTCCTTCCCGGTCCCACTTTGCCGGTGTCCCCGCTCTCAAGCCCCCAAGGCTTTGCTCTTCCCATGCATCTGCCCCCAGCCCCCTGGTCGCCTCCTGGCCCTGGAACCTCCCTCCCCCGCCCTCTTTCCCCCCGCCCTGGGGCTGGTCACACTGGCCCTGGCTATTCTTGACCCCTTTCTGCAACGCTGCTCCTGGTTCCTCTTCGGCAACACTGAGCGGGCGAGTTTATTTTAGGTTAAGACCCACACACTTGTTCCTGCAGAGGGCCAGACGCTTCCATATTTTCGGCTCTGCAGCTGCATGAACTCAGAAAAGCAGGGGCTGGCCTCCAGGAACACTTTATTAGTGACACTAACACTTGAATTTCCCATGTTTAACTATCACAAAACGTTCTCTTGACTCTTTCCCCCCATTTATTTTTAATAAAATATGTGGGGTATTTTTTATTGATTTCGGAGAGGAAGGGAGAGAGAGAGAGAGGAGATTGAAACATCAATGATGAGAGAGACTCATCGAGCATCGGCTGTCCCCTGCATCCTCCAATCAGGGATCAAGCCCACAACCTGGGCCTGGGCCCCGACCAGGCATCGAACCGTGGCCTCCTGGTTCATAGGCCGACACCCAACCACTGAACCACACTGGCTAGGCAACTCTTTCCGCCATTTAAAACTTGGCTCTTCAGTGGTATGAACATAGACTTGAGGCCAGGCTTGGCCTATGAGGTTAGCTCACTTGCCTCACTGTCGAATCATTTTTTCTTTTTTTTTCTTTTTTAAAGACTAATCACATTTCTTTTTCCCCCCCTATTCTTTTATTTTAATTTATATATTTTATTGATTTTTTACAGAGAGGAAGAGAGAGGGATAGAGAGTTAGAAACATCCATGAGAGGAAGTCATCGATCAGCTGCCTCTTGCACCACCCGCTACTGGGGATGTGCCTGCAACCGAGGTGCATGCCCTTGACCGGAATCGAACCCGGGACCTCTCAGTCCGCAGGCCGACGCTCTCTCCACTGAGCCAAACCGGTTTTGGCTGTCAAACCATTTCCAAAGGTTCTCCCACCTTGGAGAAAAGTGAGACTGGAAGGCATGGGGAAGAAATGGTGCCTGAGCTTCTGAGACGAAAAGTTTATCCAGATTGGGTGCCTCCGGAGAGAGCGGTCTGGCTGCTGAACGCCAGGCCTGCGATGGGATGGCCCATCCTTGGAGGAGCCACCAGAAGAAAGAGCGTGAGGCCTTGTCCTCTCTTCTCCATTCTCTCGGCGACCGCCTTTCTCCCCAGCCTGGATCCCCGTCCCGCCACCCGGGAAACCATCAGCGGAACCGGATCTGGGCATATTCCGCGTTGGTGTCCATGGCCTCCTGGGCCTCCTGTGGCTGGGACCCTGGGAAGATGAGGGCAGCGTAATGGATCTCCTGTTGGCTGTTCCTTGACTCTGAGGCTACAGGGGACGCCTTCCGTCTTGGGGAGTTAGCACCTGCAGGAGGGGCCCTGGAAGGGCTGCTGGGCTTGGCCTTTGGATCCCGAGCCTAAGGAGGAAACGACCATTATTCATTCATTCATTCATTCATTCATTCATTCATCAAATACTTGTGGGTACCCCGTGGGAGGCACTGATGGAGGAACTGGAGTTAGATCAGGGAGTCAAACAAAGTCTCTGGCCAAAACCGGTTTGGCTCAGTGGATAGAGCGTCGGCCTGCGGACTAAAAGGTCCCAGGTTCGACTCTGATCAAGGGCATGTACCTTGGTTGCAGGCACATCCCCAGTAGGGCTTGTGCAAGAGGCAGCTAATCAATGATTCTCTCTCATCGATGTTTCTAAATCTCTATTCCTGTTTCTTCCTCTCTGTAAAAAAAAAATCAATAAAGTATATACATATATTTTAAAAAATTCCTCTAAAGATTAAAAAAAAAGAAGTTTTTTATCTCACTGTGCCCACATTCCATCTCGGGACAGAAACAATGGACAAGTGTCGGTTTGTCTAAGCCCCTTCATCTGTGGCCCTTTGCTGAGGCCGCCCTCGCAGACTCACACAGGTCGGCTCCTGTAACTGCCAGCCGGAGGCAGACAGCTCTCACCCCACAGACACCGGGCCCTAACCCCAGGCAGGCCCTGCTCTGTTATCCAGTTCTACTGGTTCATCCTCTCCAGAGGGTTATAGACGTGAATCATGTGCACGTGACCCTCAGAGATTGGCATGGAAGAGAACGGTTTGGCTCCACGCTCTATTTAACTGGTTGGCAGCTAGTATTACTCATGTGCTCCTGCCTTTTGATTGTATTTAGGGGGTTGGTTGGTGGACCTATTGGGGCTTTAAACTAAAATGGCCAGGCGTCCCACTTTTGGTGGGAAATTCCCGATTTTTGACAATTTGTCCCAAGGCAAGTCCAGATTTTTGGAAAGAATCGGGACTTTTTTAAAATGCCACAGGATGCAGGACAAATTGTTAAAAATCGGGACTGTCCCACCAGAAGTGGGATGCCTGGTCACCTTACTTTAAACGGATATGATGTGCAGAGAAGTGGGCTGGGGGTGTGGGTGCAGAGAGGACCCACAGGAGGTGGTGGTGGTGTCCAGGTGCGGGGACGAGGGAGTCAGGAGGAGAAGTGGTTTGACGGGATTTTGCTGAAGGATTGATGGGGGTGTGAGGGGAGGGTTTGATGGAGAAGAGAGGCGTGAAAGGTGGCTGAGGGAGGCTTTAGGCCTGAGCAGCAGGAAGACGTGCTATTTGCTGGGATGGGATGGGGAGGACGGAGTAGATGCGCCAGTGGTGCAGTTACTCCTAAGCTCGCCTTGGGTAGGCTACGTCTGAGGTGCCTGTTAGACATCCCAGGGAGATGCTGCCTCAGGAGTCTAGGGCTCAGGGGTGAGTCTAGGGTTCAGGGGTGAGTCTAGGGTTCAGGGGTGAGTCTAGAGTTCAGGGGTGAGTATAGGGTTCAGGGGTGAGTCTAGAGTTCAGGGTTGAGTCTAGGGCTCAAGGATGAGTCTAGGGTTCAGGGGTGAGTCTAGAGTTTGGGGGTGAATCTAGTATTCAGGGGTGAGTCTAGAGTTCAGGGGTGAGTCTAGGGTTCAGGGGTGAGTCTAGGGTTCAGGGGTGAGTCTAGAGTTCAGGGGTGAGTCTAGGGCTCAGGGATTAGTCTAGGGCTCAGGGGTGAGTCGAGGTTCAGGTGCCAGTCTACTATTCCCCCCATTTTAAAGTTCAAGAAAAGGCTCAGAGAAGTTAAGTGACTTGCCCAAGAACACACAGGGATGGACGCAGGTCTGAACCCGGGGCAGCCCAGCTGTTAGTCACCAGGACACACTGCCTCTCAGGGATGCTCATAACATTACATCCTCTATATGCATAAAAGGCTACTATGCAGAGTGTCCCCTTGGGGGTGCCCCCTGGCGAAGGGGAGCTCTGTGGCTCACTATGACGTGCACAGACCACCAGAGGGTGGCCCAGGAGAAAGGCAGGCCCCAGCCGGCAGCGGCCAGGCCTACGGACCCTACGGGTGCACCCATTCCGTGCACCGGGCCTCATCGTTAATCATACCCAGCCCTGTCCTTGGTGGTGGTAATAACAGCACAGCTGTTCTCTACTGAGCAAGGGCAGGCTTTGACTCCTCAGACCAGCTCTCCAAGGAGAAGGAGGGAGACGTGGAGGCTCCGAGGGAGCCTGCGATGGTGGTCAAGGCCTCATCAGGCCTTGAATCCAACCAACAACCCCGCCTTTTCCACCTCCGTGTCCCAGGGGCGCAGGGCGGGGAAGGGGCCGCGCACCCGGCCCCCCACTCACCAGGCCGCGCGCCTTGGGGATCACGTTGATGTAATCCAGGATCGTGCTCCTCCGGGTGAGCCTGGACCTCCAGGTCTCTGTCCGCCCGGGGGTCTCTGCGGGCGTCTCCGCTGCCGGGGCCTCCGGGGTCCGGGTCTTCCTCAGAGTCTTCACGCTGAGGGGACGCCCCGCCTTAGTGTGCGCCCCAGGCCTGCGCCCCGGCACCTCCCTCCCGCACCCCGGTTCCCGCCCCCCTCTTCCTCCCCTAACTCACATGGCCAGGATGAGGCAGAGGCAGAGGCAGAGGCAGAGGAGGGTGGTGACGCCGGTGCCCAGAGCTACTCCCTTGGAGAATCCTTTAGCGATGAGCTCCTTGTTTTCTGCGCGTGGAAACGCCAGGCGCCCCTGAGCCTCTCCCACCCCCACGCGGGTTCCCCCCTCCCCGCCCGCCCTCTGCCACCGGCTCACAGGCCTGCAGCTCCCACTCCTTACCTGCACCCCCTCTGGATCTTTTCCTTTTAAACCCCAGGCCCAGGCTTTGCACCTTCCCCTGGGAACCCCCTTCCCCATCCCAGCTACAACCACTGGACCTACCCCTTCCAACTCCCCCCAGGACCCGCCTCCAGGGCCCCCCAGCAGGCCCTGACCTGGCAGCAGCAGGACCCAGGCGCTCTGAGCCCCGTGCACATTCCGGGCCTCGCAGCTGAGTCTGAGCTCAGAGCTGAGCCCCTCACGGAGGCTCAGGGAGCTGTTGGTCCAGGGCCCGGCTGAGCTGGAGGTGACAGCGTGGGAACCGTTGCCATGGTTCCCCTCAAGCATCCCCGCCCCCAGGCGCCAGCGCAGGGAGGGGGCGGGCAGTGCCCTTGCGGAGCAGTTGCAGTGCAGAGCCTGGTCCTCCCAGGAGCAGGAGGGTCCCAGCAGCTGCGGGGGGCCTGTGGGGAGCGAGGAGAGGGGTCAGCGGTGCCCCTGCCCTCCCAGGCCCCAGGTGTGCTGCTCCCCCCACCCCATCCCCCACTCACATTGCACAGAGAGGATCAGCGAGGCGCGGAGGGTGCCCAGCGCGTTCTGAGCGCTGCAAGTGAATTGGCCCTCGTGCTCCGCTCGCACACCAGGCAGCTCCAGGACCCCGGGGGCTGCGGGCTGGGAGGGGCGCAGGACCTGTGCCCCGCGGGCCCAGCTCAGCGAGGCAGGGGGGTCGCTGTGGGCGACGCAGAGCAGGCGCAGGCTTTGGCCCTCCAGGACCGGGAGGGACGCGCCGTCCCCGAGGGTCTCCAGGACTAGGGGAGAGAAGGGGCGGGACAGACAGACACGCAGCTGAGGACCCTGGGACCTTCGCAGGCGCACACCCCAGAGGCCTCAACCCTACACTTACCCTTGAACCCTAGACTCACCCCTGAACCCTAGACTCACCCCTGAACCCTAGACTTGCCCTGAACCCTAGACTCACCCCTGAACCCTAGACTTGCCCTCTGGCCCCCTTTCCTACCTGTCCCGTTTGCTCTGGAGACGGTCACCGTCAGGTTCTCCGGGGCATCTGAAACAGACACGGCACCAGCTCCAGGCGGGCCGGCGGGGCCTCGCTCTGGGCCAAGGGTCCCTGCGGACCAATGACTGTGGGCATCAACCCGGGCATTGCCCTGACCGGGGATCAAACCCGGACCTCCTGGTTCCGAGGTCCATGCTCAGCACGCAGGGGTGGAGGGTTGAATCCCCCACCCACCGACACAAAGCGCCCAAGGAAATGGGTGGGTAAGAAGGGTGGGTCCCTGCCACGCCTGGGTGGCTCAGTGGTTGAGCCTTGACCTAGGAACCAGCCTGATCTGCCCTAGCTCAGTGGTCGGCAAACCGCGGCTCGTGAGCCACGTGGGGCTCATGCCACGTGCGGGCACACAAGTGCAGGGCGATTAAAACTTCGTGGCCCACGCGCAGAAGTCGGTTTTCGGCTCCCAAAAGAAATTTCAATCGTTGTGCTGTTGATATTTGGCTCTGCTGACTAATGAGTTGGCCGACCACTGCACTAGCTGGTGTGGCTAGGTGGATAGAGCGTTCGCCTGTGGACTGAAAGGTCCCAGGCTCCATTCTGGTCAAGGGCACATGCCTCGGAAGTGGAACCAGAATCGTGAGTCCCACAGGCCCGGGTTCCAGCTCCTTGGTTGGAGCACTGGGACCCGGTCCCAGCCCCAGCCCTCACCCCCCGCCCTCCTCCCTCCTGGACGCCAGGCCTCGGTCACACTCACAGCTCACAGAGAGGCTCAGGGTGCGGCTCCGGAGGCCCAGCCTGTTCTCCGCGCGGCAGGCATAGTGTCCCGCGTCCCCCGGCTGCACAGAGGGCAGCACCAGCTCCAGGCCCCCGGGCCCCGTGGGATTAGACCAGGAGAGGACACTGTCCCCCAGGGCCCAGCTCAGGTCGGCGGGGGGCCTGCCGTCCGCAGCACAGAGCAGCCGCAGGCGCTGGCCCTTCCGGGCTTGCAGGTGTGGGCTGTCCCCCTGGAGCTCCTGGGCTGCAGAGGAAGAGAGGGAGAGAGAGAAGGGGGGCGGGGGAGACCCAGCCAGGGGCTCAGTGGTTGAGCATCGACCTATGAGCCAGGAGGTCCTGGTTTGATCCCAGGTCAGGGCAATGCCCGGTTGATGCCCAGGTTGCGGGCTCAGTCCCCGGTGTGCGCAATGCGGGAGGCAGCCGATCAATGATGCTCTCATCGTTGATGTTTCCTTTTTTAAAAAAAATATATTTTATTGAGCCGAAAACAATTATTTATATATATATATATATATATATATATATATATATATATATATATATATTGAATTTTTACACAGAGGAAGGGAAAGGGACAGAGAGCCAGAAATATGGATGAGAGAGAAACATCCACTAGCTGCCTCCTGCATGTCCCTCACTGGGGATGTGCCCACGACCAGGATACATGCCCTTGACCGGAATGGAACCCGGGACCCTTTAGTCCGCAGGCCTACGCTCCATCCACCGAGCCAAAGTGGTTAGGGCATGATGTTTCCTTAAAAAAAAGAAAAAAATATATATATATATAGGTTTTTATTGATTTCATAGAAGAGAGAGAGAGAGACATCAACGATGAGAGAGAATCATCAATCAGCTGCCTCCTGCACGCCCCCTACTGGGAATCCAGCCCACAACCCGGGCATGTGCCCTGACTGGGGGATCAAACCGTGCCCTCCTGGCTCATAGGTCGATGCTCAACCCCTGAGCCACCTCGGCCGGGCTCCTCATTGATGTTTCTCCTTCTCTCTCCCTCTCCCTTCCTCTCTGAACTCAGTAGAAATCTATTAAAGAGAGAGAGAGCGAGAGGGAGAAGCCCCATTCCTGCTCCCCCCACACACACTCCTGCCATCCTCCCCCGCTCCAAAGAGGACCCGGCCCAGCCCCGGCCCAGCCCCGGCCCACCCTGCCAGCCTCGGTACCTGGCCCGCTGTCCCAGGAGAAGCTGATGATCGGGACATCCGGGGCGTCTGCAATGAGATCGTGAGCCACATTGGGGAGGAACCTTGGTGTCCCCACAGCCACAGCCAACCCACCACCATGTGGGATGGACAGTGAGGCCATCCCTGGGGAAGTCATGTGACCCAGGAGTGACAGGCTCGCCTGCGGCTGGAGGACCACACAGCATCACTTCCCCTCCTGTCCTCCCAGCTCCAGTCCTCCTACCCCTTCTTCTCTGCAGACTCTCCTGCCCCCCCCCAGCCACCCAGGGCGGCCCCGTCCCCCCTCCCCACCCACCGGGCCTGCTGGCCACCCCGACGCGCCCCCACTGGACCCACAGGCCACGTGCAGCTGGACTCGGCGCTCGCAGCTCAGGTGCTTCGAGGAGAAGCTGGCCCGGCAGGTGAGGTTGGTGCCGTGGTCCTGCCGTCGGGGCGTGAAGGTGAGCACGGAGACGTAGGCCGTGGTGGTCACCCCGAAGTTCTGCGGGGGGCAGGCGGCCCCCGTCCAGGAGAGGGTCGGGGCCGGGCATCGCTCGGAGTAGAACGGGAAGGCGCAGACGGCCGTGGCCGGGCGCCCGGGCTCCAGGATCTCGGGGACGTAGACCGCTGGCTCCTGGGTCTGGGCTGGGGGGAGAGCGGGCAGCTCAGGCAGGGAACGCCCCCTGTGCCCACGGCGCCCCTGAGCACCCCCTGTGCCCCATGGCACCCCCGAGCGCCCCCTGTGCCCCACAGCGCCCCCTGAGCACCCCCTGTGCCCCACAGCGCCCCCTGAGCGCCCCCTGTGCCCCACGGCACCCCCGAGCACCCCCGGTGCCCCACAGCGCCCCCTGAGAGCCTCCTGTGCCCCACGGCACCCCCAGAGCGCCCCCTGTGCCCCACGGCACCCCCGAGCACCCCCTGTGCCCCACAGCGCCCCCTGAGAGCCCCTGTGCCCCACGGCACCCCCCGAGCACCCCCTGTGCCCTGCGGCACCCCCAGAGCACCCCCTGTGCCCCACGGCACCCCTGAGCACCCCCGGTGTCCCACAGCGCCCCCTGAGAGCCTCCTGTGCCCCACGGCACCCCCTGAGAATGCCCTGAGTCCCAGGGCACCCCCTGAGCGCCCCTGTGCCCCACAGCGCCCCCTGAGAGCCCCCTGTGCCCCACGGCACCCCCCAAGCACCCCCTGTGCCCCATGGCACCCCCCGAGCACCCCCTGTGCCCACGGCGCCCCCGAGCACCCCCTGTGCCCACGGCGCCCCCTGAGCGCCCCCTGTGCCCCAGGGCACCCCCTGAGAATCCCCTGTGCCCCATAGCACCTCCGAGCACTCCCTGTGCCCCACAGCTCCCTCTGAGTGCCCCCTGTGCCCCACGGCACCCCCTGAGAATGCCCTGTGCCCCACAGCACCCCCTGAGAATACCCTGTGCCCCACGGCACCCCCGAGCACCCCCTGTGCCCCATGGCACCCCCTGAGCATCCCCTGTGGCCCACGGCACCCCCTGAAAATCCCCTGTGCCCCACAGCACCCCCTGAGAATCCCCTGTGCCCCACGGCACCTCCTGAGAATCCCCTGTGCCCCACGGCACCCCCTGAGAATACCCTGTGCCCCACAACCCTCCCGACATGAGAAACGGGGATGGAGGCAAGGAGTGGGGACGGCGGGGGGGGGGGGGGTTCCCATTCCATTCCCACCCCATCCAGTACCTGTCACATCCAGAAAGAACTTATTGTTCTGAAAACTGTATGGCAGGGCAGGGCCTCCCTCGACCCGGAAGAAGTACATCCCTCGGTCTTCCGTCCAGGCGTCCGTGAGCAGCAGGGAGCAGTCACCGTCCCCGGGGCTGCCCACCAGCTGGAAGCGGCCCTCGGCATTCCAGTACACGCTCTGGGACGGGTCGGTGGTGGCCACGGGGTCGTCGATCTTATTGCTGAACCAGTGGCCTTGCACCTGGGCAGCCTTGGCACTGCCCTTCCCAGGGTAGGAGAAGGAGCAGGGCACCCACACGCACAGGCCCTGGGGCACTGTCACCTTCCTCTCCACCTTCAGCCGGTAGCGTGGATCCTGGTCCCCTGTGCCCCAACCCTGGGCCCACCCACCGACCCGCAGCACCCCGAAGAAGAGCAGTAGGAGCATGGCTGGCCCCGGAGACACTGGGCTCTGCCCTGAGGCAGGCTCATGCCCGGAGACACTCTGCAGGGGCAGAAGAGGAAGCCCAGGGCAGGCAGGCAAGCAGGCAGGCGGAAGTGGGGCCTCGGGGGGCTGATGCATGAAAATGAGCTTCTCCTCTGAGATCATGGGGGATCTCCCCGTCTGTCTCCCCTCTCCCCACCCCGTCTGGTCCTCTGGATTCTCCGGCTCTGTCTGTGCTTCCTCGTGGGGCAGGTGGGCAGCTGCCTGGCGTTGGGGCTGGCTCGGCGGGTCCTTCCCGGGTGGTCATCTCTGCGGGAGGGTGTGGGGGGCCCGTGTCCAGCCCTGGGCCCTGGCCGTGGGTGGGTGGAAGGTGGGGGCACCCCTGATGGTCCCGGGTCATTGCCAAAGCAGAAGTGAAAGCTCAGAGTGGGCCCTTCTTATGGGGCCCCCGGTGAGGAGGCAGCTGAGGCAGCGTGCAGGGAAGGGGAGGTGTGTGAGGTGGGGAGCAGGTCCCATCTTGGCAGCTATCATGCAAGGTGCCCAGCGAATTTCACTTTCAGATAAACAAGGAATCTCTTGGTTTAATATACGTGCATCCCAAACGGTGCCCAGGTACCGTGGTTGGCAAACGGCAGCTGGCTCTTTGGCCCCTTGAGTGTGGTGGCGCTTCCACAAAATGCCACAGCTTTGAAGAAGTGGCGTTAGAAGTTTGAATCTTAAAAAAAACGTGGCTCTCAGAAGAAATTTCAATTGTCGTCCTGTTGATGTTTGGCTCTGTTGACCAATGAGTTTGCCGACCACTGGGCCCCAGGACATACGTTTGCTAAAATGACACACTGATATCTGAAATTCAAATTGAAGTGGGTGCCTTCTATTTTTTTAAAAATATATTTTATTGATTTTTAAAAAATATATATTTTATTGATTTTTTACAGAGAGGAAGAGAGAGGGATAGAGAGTTAGAAACATCGATGAGAGAATCATCGACCAGCTGCCTCTTGCACACCCCCTACTGGGGATGTGCCCGCAACCAAGGTACATGCCCTTGACCGGAATTGAACCCGGGACCTTTGAGTCCTCAGGCTGATACTCTATCCACTGAGCCAAACCGGTCTTGGCTATTTTATTGATTTTTTACAGAGAGGAAGGGAGAGGGAATAGAGAGCCAGAAACATCGATGAGAGAGAAACATCAACCAGCTGCCTCCTGCACACCTCTTACTGGGGATGTGCCCGCAACCAATGTACATGCTCTTGACTGGAATCGAACCTGGGACCCTTCAGTCCATAGGCCAACGCTCTATCCATTGAGCCAAACCAGTTTCAGCTGCCTTCTGTTTTTTAAACATTTTTTTTTTATTATTGATTTTAGGGAGGAAGGGAGAGGGAGAGAGAGAGAGACAGAAACATCAATGAGGGAGAATCGTTAATCGGCTGCCTCTTGCATGCCCCCCTCCTGGGAATCCCACCCGCAACCTGGGCACGTGCCCTTGACTGGAATAGAACCGTGACCTCCTGGTTGATAGGTCAATGCTCAACCACTGAGCCTCAGCAGCCAGGCATGTTTGATTTGCTAAATTTGGTCTCAGGGGCACCCATCACCTTTCTTGAGGGTGGGGGTTCACTGATCTGAGTCCACTCCCGATCTCCTCCTCTTCTCTGTCATGCCATCAGGAGACCCCTACTTGTAACACCTGTTGTGATGGGGACACCTGCACCCAGAGGTGAGACTGAGGGAGGGAGGTGCAGGCCGTGTAAGGGGCACGGGAGGTGTGAAGGGGTTGGGACAAACTCTCCCCTTCCCCATGTTGTCTCCCTGTCCTAGCTCTCCTTCTTCAGACAAGTCTGTCTGGGTTGTGTAGAGACACACTGTGTGCGTTCGTTCAACCTCGTGTCCTGGGACCTCCAGTGTGGCGGGTGCCACCGGACAGGCAGGCGATGTACAGGTCCATCAGAAACCCTGTCTGGCCTCGAGGGGACCATGTTAGGGAGATGAAAATGCTTAGAAACAGCCAAGTCCTAAAAATGTCCCTCTAAACCCCCACGCTGGGACGAATGCCCGGGAAGGGCTTGGGGGTCCCTTCTTCCCATTGAAGTCAGGAAGGTGCCTTATGCTGCCCCCAGAGGGCACTGCATCCCACCCACACACATTGACGACCCTCTCCTTCCCCAGGCCTCAGGATCTGGGGATTGTTGTGGAGCGCACTCGAGTGAATGGCCACTGGAGTCCCGACCAAATTAAAATTTAGGGAGCCTTTATTAGCCCACCAGTGACTGCTCTTCCTTTCTCCACGCAGGGAGTCCAGAGAGCAGCCCCGGCCCTTTGTGCAAGACCACTTTGAAGCACATTAACCACATCCTGTTTTTACAGAGTAAGCAACCCAAGACAACCGTTTGCCCCCAAATAATGTCAGGGCCATGCTATTGATGACCATGGTATTTACAGGGTCATCCTGTTCTTCAGAGAGCTGACAGTGGTCTATGAAAGAAGGTCTATGTGCTGGGAAGGGGCCATGAGACCTATCTCAAGGCCTGGCCTGGTGTCAGCACAGACAACTCTATCTGAGGCACGGTTCACGGCCTCTCTGGAATGGAGCATGCTCAAAAATTCCCACCCCCTAACAGATATCACAGCTCTGCAGGGAGTACTTTCCCAGGGCCTGGACCCGTCTGCAAATTTGGCTCTTCCAAAAATGCTGCGTGCATTCTCCTTGCACCTACAAATGATGATTGGGCTCCTGCCATTGCTCCTTGATGGGATGGGATCTAAGACCAGACACTGTCACCACCTACACCTGACTCGGCGCCCTGCAGGCCCACCCGCCTCCAAAGGTGAAACATTTCCATATCACCCCACTCTCAAAGCCTCGTTCCAAAACCACAGCCACCTGGTGCACTCCCCATGTGATGTCTACTTAAAACCACACACACACACACACACACACACACACACACACACACACACAAAACCAGCCACCATGTGTGTGTCCCCGTGGTGTCTGAGTGCCTCTCACAGAGCATCACGACTGGGTGGCTCAGCCAGCAAACTTTCATTATTTCTCTCCATGCTGGAGGCTGGAAGCCCGAGATCCAGGCGAGGGCAGATTCGTGTCTGTGAGAGCCCGGCATCCTGGTTCACAGATTCCGTCCTCACCTGGTGGAGGGGGAGGGGGATCTCTGTGGACTCTCTTTAATAGGCCACCATTTTTTTTTTTTTAAGAAAAAATATTTTTATCGATTTCAGAGAGGAAGAGAGGAGGAGAGAAACGTCGATGATGAGAATCATTGATTGGCTGCCTCTTGCATGCCCCTACTGGGGATTGAGCCCATAACCCTCGGCATGTGCCCTTGACCAGAATCAAACCCGGGACCCATGCTGACGCTCCATCTACTGAGCCAAACAGCCCAGGCAAGGCCACCATTCTTGAAGGCTTCATCCTCATGACATAGTCACCTCCCAAAGGCCCCACCTTCTAATATTAAAACAACTAGAGCCCTGGCCAGTTTGGTACTGTGAATAGAGCCGTTGGCCTGCGGACTGAGGGTCCCAGATTCGGTTCTGGTCAAGGACACATGCCCAGGCTGTGGGCTGGATCCCCAGTAGAGGCCCTGCTGGAGGCAGCCAATCAATGATTCTCTCATCATTGATGTTTTTAACTCTCTCTCCCTTTCCCTTCCTCTCTGAAATAAAATATATATAAAAAAAACAAAAAAAAAACTATTATAAGACAAGGAGGTGAGTCAAATACTGTAGGAGAATAACCTGGTTCACTCTAATTTCCAGTAAAAAAAAAAAATTGCAAGTTCCCTACTTTATGATCAGTTATAATTGCTAATTACTGGTAGGTGTTGACACTCAGTGTGAAGTACTCTTTTTTCCCCAAAAGTAAATACCAACTTTTTTTTAAAAAAAATATTTTTTTATTGGTTTTACAGAGAGGAAGGGAGAGGAATAGAGAATTAGAAACATTGATCTGCTGCCTCCTGCACACTCCCTACTGGGAATGGAGCCTGCAACCAAGGTATATGCCCCTGATCAGAATCGAACCCATGACCCTTCCGTCCACAGGCCGACTCTCTATCCACTGAGCCAAACCTGTTAGGGCACTACCAATTTTTGTTGTTGTTGTTGTTGTTGTTGTTGTTGTTACAACCTAAGGATGTCTGGGATCTGATTCCTGTTTGACTTCTCCAACCTCCTAACATTTTACTCCATTATTTCACAAAATTACCCCTTCAGAACGACTAACGCAACCCCAGCTGATACCCGCAGTCAGCCCCGATGTTCTACTGAACATGAGCAATATCACAGGATGTCACACCTGACGAGGCAAACTGTGACTCTGGTGGAACAAGACGGCTCCACTCACGTCTCAGCACCAAGCAAGAACTTGTCAAAGCCACAAAGGGGGCACACCCCCTTTTTTCTGAGGTTACAGGAATGACTGCTGATTACGGAACAACTATAACGTCAGTTGCTGCTATGGATTGAACTTTGTGCCCACCCCTTCCCCTCTCGCGCGTGCGTGCGTGTGCACACACACACACACACACACGTGCTGAAGCTCTAACCTTAATGTGAGGGCCTGTGGGGGTGGGGCCTTCAGAGCTAATGAGGTCATGAGGTGGAGCTTGCATGAATGAATTTAGTGCCCTTATCAAAGGTATCTCAGAAAGCATCCTTGCCTAAACTGGTTTGGCTCAGTGGATAGAATGTCCGTCTTCGGACTGAAGGGTCCCAGGTTCGATTCCAATCAAGGGTGTGTACACTGGTTGTGGGCACATCCCCGGTAGCGGGTATGCAGGAGGCAGCTGGTCGATGTTTCTCTCTAATCAATGTTTCTAGCTCTCTATCCTTCTCCCTTCCTCTCTATGAAAAATCAATAAAATATATTTTTTTAGAAAAGAAAAGAAAGAAAGCATCCTCAAAAAAAAAATGA